AAAATTTAAAAATGTTTTCACGGTAATAAGGATTTATATATCTCTTCACGTTAATCTAATCAGTATTGCGCACTATTGGATGTTAATAAAAACCATCAAAATAGTAGTAATAGTATAACCTTGACTATTGGGATTTTACTGTCTGCATAACATGCATTTGTTTAGTAATAAATTTTTAAAAATGCAGTCCTAAGAGTCTTAAGTTTTCAGCTGTAAGGATAAAAACATAAACATTTATAATATCTGATTTATTTGTAATTAATTATGCATGTAAACCGATTTTATAGTCCAAAACACTGTCAGACAAAAAATATTAACTACTTAAAAACAGAAATGTTGCAATTTAATTTAACACGAATGTAAGGACTCCTAGTCCTTACTAAAGTACTACATAAGAGCTCGGCATTGCGAATATTATTAGAATCTAGTTGAGCCAGGAATGAAATATTTCTGAGAAGTTAGGAGTAAGGGGAATGCAATATAATTTGTATATGCATAGGAAATTTCAATGGGTATAACAGGTGGAGATCATCCTTCCACCTGTTACGTGGTCATTTAGTTTTAATTTCATATTAACAGACTAACAAATAATAATTTAACTCGATTGAAATAAATTCAAATATGTATACTGTTTCCGATAACTTGTCCTTTACTATAAATTTAATATGCCTTTTGTACATATGTGTAAAAAACATAAAAATAATTAATATAAGATCTGAATAAAAACAGGATTCAGTCAATTAAATGACTTTTAAAAACCAACCTCTTATAATTTCATCCAAATCTTCATCTGACATATCCATATCAATAACCATATCAATTGGATCATGCGGTGCACTGATTTCTTCCTTTTGAGATTCCGATGATGAACCTAGTTTTAGAATACATTGAAAAACATTGAAATAAAATATAAAAACAAATGAAAAAAAAAATTTAATGTTTTTGAAAGGCGTTAGAAAAAGCCACAAAATAGTAATTTGGCTTTTAAACTGAACCGGATTTCACATTCAGCAACCTTGTCACTTCCACCAAAAAAATATTTATGGTATTTTCTGTTGTGTGTTAATTTCATTTTGATTAAATTTGCTTTAAAACTTACTCGCATTGCTTCTTTGCGGAGGTGACTTATTTAAGTTTAAAATAATTGAAGGTATCTTTGGAAAGAGATTGGTTAAAATAATATTTTATTGCTTAACGATTATTATACGTACTTTAGTAGGCGAAGTATTGGGAGAGGATATATGATTGACTTCATTCATCTTCTGAATTTTTGCTGGTCCAGTTCGATAATCTATATCACCCGTTTTATTTGTCTGAAAACTCTGAAAAATAAGCAATCAAGACTTTTATCACTTTTTAAATCCAAAATGTTTACTTGTTCTGCAGAGAGCCATGAATTCTTATCACCATCACTCGATATAGGTGATCCTGTTAATGATATTAAGTTTCTGTGATCTATATCTAACTGTCGATTTGGATCTGTGAAATAAGTTAATTTTGAGCATATTTAATATTCAACTTTTAATATAACAAACCTTTGCCTAATGCAAGTTTAGCTGTGGCACTTAAATTAACTTTGCGATGGTCAACATCTTGCACAGATATTAAATCCGAATCGTTTTCTGTATATTCAATGGTTGATGAATTAGAACTATGAGCTTCACGCTCAAAATGGGGGGGAGAAACTGGAGTTTCTAAAGTGCTCGATGTAGTCCATGATAAATTCCAAGAACTGAAGTTATTTGAAGTATTTGTTTGTGAACCATTCCCTACATCTGTTCTTGATGTTGACAGTATTGGCGGAGGTGGTGGCATTAGCGGTTTTCCAAGATTTGAACAATTTGAGGTACCATAAGAACCGCTTTCACTATTATTATTATTGTAATTATTTGTTGAATATGTGGGAACGTGCGGTGAGTAACCACTGCTATACTGCGCATTATTATACTGTTGGGGTGTTCGTGCAAGTGATGCGTATTCAGACTGAACGGGTGGCACAGGCATAGGATTGTGATAAGTGCTGAGTGGTTCCGGTTTGTAGTATTCACCACTTGAATTAAAACTTTCATCATCAGAACGTGAACTAATAACTTCAATAGGCTGACCTTATAGAACAAATATCAGAGAAAGACGTATGTTATTATCATAGTCTGCCATCATAGTTTTTTTTTCCTAATTTTATTTTTTGTTTAAACAATTTTAAAACCTACACTGTGAGAATAAGGATGAATCATGAAAAGGATTTTGCAAATATTTAGCAAAAATTATATGATACAGAAATAGATTTTTTTGATACTTATATGAAGTTGTGGTTTCTGTTGCTCACAATGATCTATATGCATGAGTTAAGTTGTGGATGGGTGATAGTAGTGTGAGAGGAGAGGAAATTATTTAGAAGTAAAAAGGAAATGGGTGGAATTTAAATTGAAGTCAACAGGATTAAAGACTAGTCACTTCTATGGACGGGTTCAAAAATGGATTGAAGTCAAGTTTGTGTGTGCATTGAAACATAAAAACAGATGGGTGCCACCATGGAGGGTAGAGCTGTAGTTAGGGCACGCATTGGAAAGTACCATGTTTATGCGGGCTAAGTAACTGTTTAGCACATAGCTACATCTCATAGCTAAATCTCAATCGAGCTACGATAGTTCTTACTGAACAGAAAAACCGTGGCTCTTCATAGAAGAAGAGTTAATTAAAAATTAAACCTTTTTAATTTAATTTAATTTTTTAGCCAATAATCAAACTAAGAAACGTTCACATTTCCTGGTGAACAGTGTTAGAACATATAATCATTAAGATATTTTGCACAAGCTTTAAGGAATAATAAAATAATGTTTAGTAATATTAATGCTAAGTAAGAGAATTGCTGATTAAATTTCGAAAGCAGAACAATTCATCTAATTTAATAGTTCAGATTAATATAATAGACCAATTCACTTTTAGTTATTACAAACGAAAATTTCTCCACGACCGCAAATATACTCCGACTTTTTACAGTCTTTTCCATTTAATATAATATAATAACTTCAATAAGACTGATTGACAACGTAAGTTTAAGTTGGAATCATAGTCTTACCCGTCAAAACCACTGTAGCACATATAATGGCCCGCTATGATACTGCGGATGAGACACCGTTCATACACCAGATCTAAAGAGCCGTCTCAAAGAGAGAAGTTCCAAATTTTAGTGCACGAATGTTGTCTATTTAAAAATACACGCACCCTCCATTCAAGTAGAAGGGAAGCAACATTTTCTATTGCACGTTCTTGACGTAGTAAGTGCAACGGATTTATCATAATTTGATTGACAAGACTTCAAGTAATCATCCGACGCGATTATATATCAGAATAAACAATTTACTTTCTTAGTTTACATGTTATGAATTCTGATGATGATTTTATTCTGGGACTGGTTAGATTTAAAACCACTAGTTTTTTTAGGAAATTAAGTTCCAATCAGTCCTTTTAACAAGGACTCAAAAATTAAGAGTCCCATATTAATTACAACAATAATAAGATATGTTGGTTCTAAGAACGGCTGGGTCTCCGTCTCGCAACTATTCGTCGCTTTCGACACCACACCCAAAGGGACTACACAAAGAGATCCCTGCAGACTACAAGAAGAATATATTCACTTAATGGACAAAATACAAAAACAAAAACAATCGCAAAGATTTGCGATATGTAAACTAAAAATCCCTAGACTTGACAAACCTAAACAGTAGAACTTTGTCGCTATTTAGCGCATAAGTGAACTTAAGTTCAATGCAGTTAGGAACTAATGATGGCATAATCAAATTAATTTTTACAAAAGAAAACCCCTGAGTTTGCATATAATCTATCTTTTATCATAACATCGAATTGCATTTCAAACAAGAATTGCCAGCAATATATAACAAGTAATAGTGATATTTGTATTTAAACTAATATGTTAGTTTATATGATATAAACGATCTTAAAGAAATTTATGGTAGATATAAAGCATTAATCATGTAATTCGCTTACTAAATATTGATTACAAATTTTTACAGGTAATGTTAATATTTATAAGGCTTGAATAAAATTAGATAGTCCTAATATACTTAGATGGTTAGGTTTAAACTTGCATATGCTCGCAAGCACATAATGTATATGCTTGACATATAAAATAATCATATCGGTTACAATCGTCAATCTTATCAAAAATTAAAAAATTTTAACTTATCGAAATAGATTTATAAATTGCGGTCAAACAATATATTGGCGACGAGGATTTCAAAATCAATTAAATTATTATTATTATTAAATTAAATTATTAATTAAAAATCATTAATTCATCCAATAGTTATGACGCAAAATGAAAATGTGTGTATTATTACTACGACCACTTCAGGTGTGCGGGAGTTCAGGCGGCAGATCGACAGTTGGTGTGACTGGGTGAAGATTTTAGACTTCCATGTTATTAAAACGGCATGTCAGGACGACAAAATTAAATGGACAGTCCTATTAAAAAACATAGGAATGGAGGCTTATGGACTGCTGCGGGACATCTGTGATCGGTTACTGCCTGCAGCCAAAACGTATGCGCAAATTTTAAAATTGCAACTGCAATAATTGTGGACGTGTGGGCCATTTGGCTAGCGTTTGTTTTTTTTTTAAAAACATAAGTATTGTAAATAATAATGAATGCAACAGGTTTTTTAAGCACATTAAATCAGTTAAATGACAGAGTAGATTATCTAAAATGTGCATAAGGTTAAGTTGAGTCTTAAAGAAGACGCAACACCTGTTTTTTGCAAACCTAGGTCAGTGGCATTGGCTTGGCGTAAAGAAATCGAAAAGCAGATTCAGGAGGAGTGTGGTAAAGAGGAGTGTTCTAAAATTAATAAAAGATTCAGATTGGGGTACGCTGTTAGTACCACTGTTAAAGACAAACGGTGAATTACGCATTTTTGCCGACTATAAGTTATGTTATGTTAAGCCTTTTCCGAGTTAGTGCATCTGGGCACTTTTACTCTATGATAGCTGGGGGGATTCTGTAGAGTCCCACCCATCTCATTAACCAATTTGAATATTCCTGATAATCTTCGTTATTATTCAATGATTGATCTAAGATCTGCGCACTGCCCCATGCGGTTAGTGTTTACTCTGAGATTAGATAGTGCTAAGTAGGGCAGCCTGTCGGTTTTCGCATATAGCTTCAGAGCTCTGTCCCTTATGTATTTTTTAACCGGATCTATTATAAGGTCTCTTAGCATGTCATTCGTGAGGATGTACCATGGTTCTTTGAAGAGCCTTCGGAGAGCCTGACTTTAAGTAACTTGTAGCTTTTGGATAGTAGAGTCGGCAGCTTTGCTATACGCGATACACCCATAAGGTAGTGCTGCTCTAATTATCTGGCTGTAGATCTGCTTTTTGTTATTCACGCTAAGGTTGTTGTGTTTGAAAAGTGGTTGCAAGCAGTATAAGTCGAACAACAATAAGCACTTGTTGAATGTGAAATATCCGTAACCTAAGATCAAAGAACTATTTGCTTCTCTAAAAGGACAGTTCTTCACCAAGCTTGATTTGTCGAATGCGTACAATCAGCTTGAATTGGTAGAAGAATCCCAACGGTTATGCGCATGCAGTACACATTTAGGCGTTTTTAAGATTACCTGGTTAACATTTAATGTTAAACCTGGGATTTTAACAATAGTTAATGCTCCAATACCGAAAGATTGTCTGAAGTTCGCGCATTTATTGGAATAGTTAATTACTAGCCGTTATATGCATTGTTACGAAAGGCTGTTAAATTTAAGTGGACAGAATTATGTCATCATGTCTATGAAAATCTTAAAAAGGAAATAACATCCGATAGATTACTAGCTTCTTTTGAGCTATTAGTAAACCTAATATTATACGGATACGTTAATTGTCGCTATAGCCTGGACATTGTCCCACAGTTTTTTTAATGGTACAATTAAACCGGTCGCTTTCGTATCTCGAGCGCTTTCGACAGCTGAGTGAAATTTAGTGCTATTCAAAAGGAAGCACTAGTCATAGTATTTTTTGTAACTAAATTGCGACTTCATCTGCTTGGAAATAAGTTTATTTTGCAAACTGATCATAAGCCACTTTTATCAATTTTTGGTGAAAACAAGGGACTGCTAGTAATGGCAGCGGCTCGTATTGAGCGATGCGCTTTGACATTGTCTAGGTTTGATTATACCATCGCATATGTCAAGGAGTCAGAAAATTTTACAGATAATATTTCTCATATACTCAAAGCTACATCTCCTTCTGTAGATACGGATGATAATAGTTACATAAATTTTGTAACCAAAAACAATGAACTAAATTTAGATTTCAAAGTCATTTCACAAGAAACTGCTCGCGACCCTTGTTCAGTAATAGCCGCTATTGCAACTGGAAAGTTACATTTATTAAAAGACAAAATATTTTTGTCTTTTCAAACTAAAAATATAGAGCCTTCAATTGAGTGCGGATGTATATTATGGGGTTTTAGAAGCGTAAATCCTCGAACATTGAAAAACCATATTTTAAAACAATTACATACGTCTAATTTAGGCATTGTAAAGACGAAGGCTTTGGCTAGATTCTATGTTTGTTGGCCGAATATAGATAAAGATATAGTAGAGCTTATATATAACCGTGTTTTATGTAAAAAGGTAGTCCATTAATTCCGTGGCAAATGCCTAGCTCAGTATAGTCGCGCATTCACATTGATTTTGTCGGACCAGTGAGGAACGTTTACATTTTAGTTGTAGTCGAGGCATATGCTCCAAATGGGTAGAAATTTGTAAAACCAAACATATAACAATGGCGTTCACGATTGAGAAATTAAAAGAGTTATATTGTAGATATGGTTTAGTGGATACCATAGTGATAATGGAACCCAATTTACAGCATGGGAATTCCGACAATTTTTAAAAGATAATGACATTAAACACTTTCTTACACCTCCAGGGTTTTCAGCTACAAATCGGTAAGCCGAAAATTTTATTAATACTTTTAAAAAATAGCTTGAAGCAAGTTTGAGCTCTGGTGAAAAAGGTAGTTTAGATATAGTGCTCAAAAGATTTCTGTTTGATTATCGTACTATGAAACATTGTACAACAGGAGAATCTCCAGCTACATTTATGTTAGGTAGAGGAATGGAAACGCGATTCGTTTTACTAGTAAACCGTCACTACCACGGAGGAGGATGTGAATTTAGATAGTGGTACTTATCCATCCTAATAATAATTTGTTGATAAATATTTCATAATTATTATTATATAATTTATAATATTTAATTTATAATACATAATATATAATTTATAATGTATAATTTATAATATATAATTTATAATATATTATTTATAATATATAATTTATAATATATTATTTATAATACATAATTTATAATACATAAATACATAAATAAATATATAATTTTAAAATGATTTGCAATTATATTATATATGTATTTATATTTTATATCTTACTAATGTATATCGTGCATATTTATATAGATGTATAGTTATCATCTGAAAAAGAGGGCTGTAGAGTTTAAGCTTTTATAAAAATATAATAAGTTTTGTATAAGAGTAGAAAATAATAGAGTATAATAGTAAAGTTAGCTTGTTAATTTATAAATTATAATTAAATAATTAAAAACTAGTATTAATCCAAACCTAAACGTGAATGCTATAAATATAATTATATAATAAATTACTATATATATTATAGTATATTATATGATATAATACTAATTTAATATACTTCTCATTTTTATTACTTGGAGTTTTTGATGCGATGTCATCACTTTTGAAATCATTTATATCAAATGGTAAATTTCCGTCTAAATAACTTGTATATCCATTAAATGTACTTTTTATCATATTCTAAATAAAGAAAATTGGTTAAAATTTGGTTCGGTATTAAATTATATATAAATTTACTATTGATATCGATGACTGTTCATCAGGTAATTGCAAATCTGCATCTCGTTCTGGCGAAGGAGCATCGATATCAGGCGATGGTATAGGACTACACAAACTCGGTAATATATCGTCCAGTTTTTTTTTTACTTGTTTTACTCGAGATCCAAAGTTTTTATATGCCTAATACATATTCACATAAAACAATAGAATAAATAGTATTATAAAATAGTTAACTCATATAACTTCACTTACATTGACTACAACTTTGACTTCGCCTCGCTGATGTGTATAGAACTTAATAGCTGTTTCCAAATTAGAAAGTAATGCCTTCCTACTATTAATTTCGATTAACAAGTTAGAATTATAGATTTCCAAACAATGTATAGACTGTAAAATATTTCTTATTATATCATCAGCATCTCGTTTATCTCTTAATTTTACTTTTACATCATCAGAATCATAATTAGGTCCTTTGGGAATATTTTTGAAACTCTTATCTGTGCAAGTTGACAAAGCCATACATTCTCGAATGTTACCAACAATGTTCGTATGCTGCAATGAAGTAAAAATTAACTATCAAAATATTATCTCTAAGATGCATACATACCTGAAAATCTGATATATCTATCGGGTTGCGAGTTTTTTTAAGGGGCTTTATATTTAATAACCCTCTTAAATCACTCAAGTATTCTTCATTATATACATCGCGTTCTTCCCATATATGAAATATTCTCAGTATTTTATTTTTGACTTTATCATCTCTGTAAAAAATGAATTATGTTATTTAAATGAATATATATATATATTCATATATAAATGTATATGCAAACATATTTTCCATATATACCTGACCATCGTTGTGGCTTTTTGTAATGCAGTTGCCCAACTTTCGACAAATTCATACTTTTTCCTTTTGCTATATTGAATAACATCATTGGCTAAGTAGAATAGTGTAAGTCTATGTTCAATATTCACTATAATATAAATTAAAAATGATTTATTTAAAACAATTTTTATACAAAACTTAAAGCAATAAAAAAAATATTAAAACGTTATAAAATGTACACTTTATTTTCAACATTTATAGCGACTAAAGTGTGACTTAGAAATACACCTTAAGCAAAACTGACGACATGCACATCTGTTTGTGAAATCCCTTACCATTCTCCCATATTCGCCCCCCTACCTGCAACTATCACCAGTCCACATCCTTACCCATGTACTCATCTTGTAAACCTTTTCATTTTATCTGCTTTTAAGTTCCAGTGGATTACAAAAACAACAACAATATACATGTCTGCTTATTGGAAGCATCCCTTCCGTCCATCGATCCCTTTCTGTAGATCATGAATATATCG